CCTTTTTTAATATCGTTCATACTTGGAAAAGTGAGTTAAATTGATTATTAGTAACCCGAATTATTTGTCTACTTGTTTTGACCACAAATACTACTTTTAGGTTAAACAAAATATAAATGTATGTATGTAGACAAACATGTAAAAAATGTGTTCGAAGAAGTTACTCAATATTTAAATTAAGTTTAGTAATATTCACTTTTTATTAACACTGTTTTTTTTCTAAAATTATTTGTTAAAATTTAAACTCACATCTCCTCTTTTCTCCTTCCTTTTTATCCTATCTCTGCTGATATACGATTTGATTTTGAGACACCAATTAAATAGATAGAGTATGATGAGCGGATGTTAGTTCAAATTTTTACGAGCATGCTTAGGGAGATGGGTGAGAGGCATTTAAATATCAGACGATCGGAATAAACTTGTATGACATAATACGTGGAAAAAGAGCAATCACATGTCATTATTCATTGATTTTGTAAACTTATAGCATCTTTGGCTGAGTTTCTCTGAAGGCCAAAAGTATTTTTTTTCTCCAAAAGTATTTTTTTTTCTCAACTTAAGGTGTTTGACCAAGCTTTTTTGGGGAGGAGGGGAGAAGTATTTTTGGAAAGAAACAGATAGGGCCGAGCATATATCGGGTAAGACCAAGCCTGAACCAAAAAACATTTATTGGGTCATCAGTTTCGGGTTATTCCGTTAATGTTTAAGTAACGGTTTTGTGTTATTTGACTATTGGGTTATTGGTTTGCCCAATTTATTAACGATTTAACCGATAACCTAATAAGCTTTATCAAAATTATAATTTTACTCTAAGGTCTATAAAGCCACCTTAGGAATTCATTATCTATTAGTACTATGGTTGGACTTCATAATTTTCAAGGTATAATTGCTACTATTTTGTATTCTTTCTACTGCGTTTGGACAAGTAGGCTTGAGCAAATTTCTTAATTCCTGATATAAAAGCAGTTTTTATAATTATGGTCCTCTGATAGTTTTAATGTTTAGTATATTCTGCTAATTGATCCTCCCAGTGAATCCTCCCGAATAGCCTAGAGTACGCGTGCCACTTTTCCAAAATATGTTATTTCTCTTGCTACTATTGTTGTATAAGTGCATTTTACGGTATCAGTATATTTAATATTTCGCTCTTAAACAATAAAACATTATTACGTTTGATGAAAAAAATTAATAATGAGTTCTTCAATCATTGTCTTGGTAGGATGCAAGTTAATATGGTGAACTTATCCTCTTTCATTTCATAATCTCAATGATGTTCATACGTGTGTGAATATATGAAGTATATTTGAGCAAAAGTTGTTGGTGTATGCAATTGAACAAAACTTTTTGACGAGGGTAAACATGTGTCGATGAAACTTTTGTTCACTCTTTAGAATTATAATTGAAAGAAAGCAAGGTTATAAGATAAATTAGCGTTATATTCTACGTTTTTTCCTCTAAATTAAGTTATCTTATGGGGTAAACCGATAATAATCGATAATCGATTAATTGATACTCGATAAACGATATCTTATCGGTTCAGTTATCGGTTTAGTATATTTGTAAATCGATAACCGATATGTCGAACCGATAAAATTCACAACCGAACTAAACCGACTGATACCCACCCCTAGAAGCAGAAGCAGTTTATGAGAAGCGGAAAAAAGTAGCTTTTTCTTAAAAGCAGGAGCAGTTTTGACTTTTCTTCTTACCAAAAATACCCTTAACAAAATATAGTATATACCAATGTAACCTTACTTATTTTAACCTAATACTTAGGATATTAATGTATAAGTATTTTTTTTATTTTTAGGATAGCTTTCTAATATATAGTGACTTCAAGGGCGAATACTTTTATATTTGTTAAATAATTTTTAATATATTTAAATCATCTTAAAAGAATTAAAGTACTTTTTAATTTTATTTTCATATTTTACTTAAATAAAATGGAAAGATTCAATTATTGTTTTTAATAATAAAATTTTGAGATTATTTATTTACTTACAATATTAACTATTAAGTAAATCTATTCACATCCTTATTCGTAATTTGATGTTTAAAAGTATTTTTTGAAAAGTTTGGTTAAACACAAATTATCGCTCAAAAGTGCTTTTTAGATTGATTAGCAAAATGTAAAATATTTATCTCCAAAAGTATTTTTTCGAAAACACTTTTGAAAAAAACTCTTTTCGAAAAAAATACTTTTTAAAATAAGCAAATTTTTTCAGTTTGGCCAAACATGCTATAAATATGGCAGAAAGTAAGAAACTAAATGTGTAGTCGTAGGACATTATAAAAATGATATTGCAGATGATCCTCGTTAAAATAGGGAGAATATTTTAATATTATATTAAATAAAATTATGTACTAATAATAACAATTGATTATGCTCCGCGTATAAGATAATAAATTTTTATTATTAGTTTCTTTAATATTAATAGCGTGCAAGTTCTAATATTAGTCTATATTAATTGAAACATTTTTTTTGACAATTTGAAACTTGTAATGATTGTATCATTTTGATAATTAATTTTGAGGTCAAGAAAATACTTCATCCAATACAAGTGTAAAAGTATTGTTTCACAAATTAAAATAATTAAGGGTCGAACGAAATTTACTCTACGTAAAATGGTCAAAACTATCCATGGATTATGAAAATTGGTACAAAATATCCTTCATAGACCTATTAAGCAAAGAATATTTTGTCGCTCACTAACGGCTATAATTAAAATTTATTACGTGTCAATCTTCCTATTGGCTAATTTAAAACCCTTTCCAAATTATGTTAAGATCCATATTACAGTCTAACTAAAGATCCACCTTTATATACAAAGTTTCCTTTCTCTTTATCTATAACTATAATACCAACTCTTATAATCTTAGATTCAAAAGTTTCTCTTCTCTTTAACTCAACTCAAGAAATCCAGTAACTCACTTTTAAACAAGGAAGCAATGGCTAAAGGGGGAAATTAAAGTTCACAAATTAAAGGTCAAGTCAGTCCTTGGAGAAAATGCAATCTTTCAAAAGGTAGGCCGTATCAACGAGAGCCTAAAAAATTCTCCCAGTCATGATAGTTTTTATATATTCCTATATGATAGTCGTTGCTCCATTAAAGACCAACATCCAGTCTATGTTGGTCAATCACGAGGCCAATACCTCGTTAGCTCTGACGTTGTATTCCACCTGCTCTTCATGGAACTTATTGGGGGTGACTCAAAAGATTCCACTAACATCGCATGTGAAGTCGTCTTCTTCTACCACTTGCTCGAAAATTCTTATCCCCATCTGCAGAGTCCTTGGTTTAGCTCGTCAAAATGTTTTTGATTGTTGGATTCCTTTGGAAATTATTAGAAACTAAAATCACCAAAAAAGAAAAAACTTTTGCGTTGGTCAACCATCATATATATGTAAATTTATTTTCATACTTATAGTTTTATAGATTTATGAAAGATGATGATAGATAATACTTAGTAAAATGTTGATCTCCAGCACCGGTCAGGATGCGACGGCGTGATTAACCTATTCTTACAAGGTTAGTCTCTCAATTGATGGAGAAACCTAATCGGGCTACTTGAGTCTCTATGCAGGTCATGGGTCGGTGTTTTAATTTGGGAAGGGATACTAATTTGTGCCAATCATATCAGCCCACACTAACAAATAAATATTCATTTATTTTGTATTAAGAGGACTATTATTAGTTTCATAGGTAGAAAAGAACCACAAAATTAAGCATACTAATATTTTGGCTCAACAGGCGGACAGAGGCATATTAAAGCCTCATTTTTTTTTTTAAGACTAAGACGTCTAAATCTGAATGCACATCTGAATTTTAAGATATGTATTAAGATTAACATATTTGAATCTAAATGTATAACTGAATATCAATATATGCATTAAGATATGAATAGTAAATGATTAAAAATATTTATTTTTTCAATATCTGAATATAATATATTTTATTTTTATTTAAAATTTAATAAATATAAAATTTAAATAAAAATAAAAACTATTAATTAATCAAATATTTATCAAAAAAAATTAAAATTATAAATTGGTAGTTGGTGGAGGTTGGCTAACCGTGATGCTTGTGGATGTCGTTTGGAAGCGGTGGTTGATCGTCGTTTTAATTGATGGTGGTGGTTCTAGGTAGTAATTAGTGGTGATTAGTAGTAGTAACAATTTATGATCGAGGATGATGGCTGGTGATAGTTGACAATGGTGGGGTGCTGGTGATGGTGGACGGATGTTGATAATTTATAATGGCGGGTGACGACGGTTATGGTTGATGACGGTAGTGGTGGTGGTGAAGTTGAGTTATGTGAGTGAGTAGTTGAGAATGATGGTGTGGGGGTGATGGATGGCGGTAGTTGATAATAGTTGGGGTGGTAGGTGGTGATAGTTGATAATAATGGGGGTGATAGAAGTAGATAATAATGGGCAATGGCAACAATAGTTGAGGATGGTGATGGTAGGTAGTGGTAGTTGTGGTTGAGTATGGCGGTGATAGGTGATGCGTGATGGTAATTGATAATGGTGGTGGTAGGTTGTGCATAATGCTAATTGATAATGGTAGGTGGTGGTGGCGGTTAGTGGTGAATGCAAATGATAGTATCTTAATGAAATTAAATCTTTGTTCTAGATCTTAATCATTTTGAAATATTCAAACATATTAAGTGGTTATAAAATATAAAAAAACAAACATACTTAATGATTAAGATCTGAATATTTAAAATTCAGACTTAAAAAATAAATACATTTAATGTCTGAGGTCCGAATGATTAAGATTCAGACCTCAAATAAGTACAAAGAAATAAGACCTAAGAAATATTGAGAATATTTTTAATATATTATTATATATAATTAATATATAATCTATGTATATGGGCCAAAATTTTAATCCGGTAGACTATTTGTGTAAAATATCTTCCGTTTACTCTAACTTTTTAACGCTAGGAAAAACCAAAAAAAAAAGAAAGATAAGTACGTAACAATATTTTCAACGCGTTTTGAGGTTTAGCACGTCCATTCTCATTAGTCACTCCGTTGGGATTGAGGTCACACAGACAGAGTGAGAGGAAGTGAAGAGTGACAAAAAATGGCAAAATCGTCGGCGACCAGAGACGCCCAAGCTCTTTTCCATTCTCTCCGTTCTGCTTATGCTGCCACTCCTACTAATCTCAAGGTATCCCTCTCTATTCTCTATTTCTGTGCGCCAATTTCTTTTTCAAATCTATACGGTGGGTCCTAATAAAATTGTTTTTATTTTCGCCCCAGATCATTGATCTATATGTCATGTTTGCCATCTTCACTGCCTTAATTCAGGTATTCTTTAACAACTTTGCTGTTATTTAATCCATTTGCTTTGATTTGTATGTAGATCTATATTTATAAGTTGTTAACTTTCTACTGGCCTTTGAAATTATAATAAGAAATGCATGTTATGGAATTTGATTACTGCTTGACGGCTTATGAGGTCAGTTAAAGCATTACCTAGCTTAAATTGATCTTGGTCTAATCTGATATGCTGCATTGGAAATATAATTTGATTTCTAAAGAAGGCTGAGGCTGAGGCAGAATTTCTTGGGGAGGAGGAGAAGGACACATTATGTGGAGAAAGTGGGGTTGGGGTATTATATTTTATATTTTAAGGTTTCTTTTAGTATTCAAAATACTAAGGTGTAAAACTCTAAAATGTGAAAGCTAGGGAGGGCGGCTGCACCATAATATCGACAAGCTATAATAAATGAGCTGAAAGATATATTATTTTAGCGTTCTGCAGTTTGCAGGAAAGGATATAGGAATTTCTTTTCGAGGTGATACGGGTATTTTGACTTCCACATTGTTGTTTTATCTGGTTTATATGTTTATTAAGGCTTTATTAGAGACTGGATATTCTTGGTCATTAGAGAAAATCAACATAGACACATGAACAATTATCTATTGTCATAGAGATTTGAGATTACATATGTAAGTACGAGTCTGCAAGACCAATCACTGATTGAGCTTGTGCTCCACTGATGTAAATTTCAAGAAGTAAAATGACTTCTATTAACTGATCAAAGGTTCCCGGTTTTCCTCCTTACTTTTAGTCTTAGTTCTTCAGTTTGAAAGTTGAAGAGAAGGTTCAAATTGTGTGCAAGTTTTTCCTTTCCGACTACTGTGAATAATGCCTATTTTCAAGAATTGGCTCCTTAAAATTTTCAAGATATTTTGTATGAAATAAAATGGATGGCATGCGACACGGTTAAAACCATTAATTTGTACCGTAGAGTTCCATAGGCCATTAACTATTGATTATTTCCTTTTTTACCAAAAAAATATAAATTGTTGGTGTAACAACAATGGAATATGATGCATTTGTTTGATTCATATACACATTTTTGAAATGACTATGACTTCATTAGTGATCCAAAATTAGTGACTTTCTATTGCCCCAGGGCATTCGTCAGTGGTAAGGACGCAACGCAAGATGTGGGGCGCACGCCATGAGTTTGAACTTTGCCACTGACATGAAGTCTAGTATTTAAGCGGGAGTAAGGTATAGGTGCGAGCCCACACTCCCCCGTGTTTTGAACCTGCGGGTCAACTGAGGTTGAGCCACCTAACTCGCAGGGGGATTTGTTGTCTTAGAAAAAATAGTTACTCCCTCTGCTTCAATTTAGATGACACATTTCGTTTATCGAGAGATAATTTGAGTGAACTTTAAAGTTAATTTGGATTAGTTCAACTCAGTATTTTAGAATTAAAATTTAGATATTTAAAGACTATACAAAAAGTACTATAAGTTGCAATATTTTTTCATGTCAATATGATAAAAAATACGTTTTAAAATGTTGGTCAAACTTCACACAGTTTGACTCTTGAAAAGCGAAATATGTCATCCAAATTAAAACAGAGGGAGTATGTTTTATATCTTTTGCCTGTTTGATTTTCTCTTTGTGCTTGCTTCTGGCAAAACCAATGTTTTATGCACTTAAAAGATTTAACTCTGCCACGAGCAGGGCAGAGGGGCAGGCCCATACTCTAAGTTTTGAACTCGGCTTAATACCTAAGGGATTTTCTCAGTTATCAAAAAAAAGAACCAATCTTTTATCTACTCAAGAATAGATTAAAAAATAAATAATACAGGATTCATTCTGTATTTGATGATTAGAGGGAATTGATCTCGTGTCCCGAGTTTGGTTATCAATAAAGAAGACTTAAAGACAATCATATTAATTGTGCATACAACATCAATAAGGTTAGATAGTCCATCATTTTGGGTTGTTTGGAATAGTTTGCCAAATCAGATCTAACATGGAAGGTCTAGAAGGTCACATTCCCTTTTTGTTTGTTTCAATTCCGTCATGACTTCCAACATTACAATCCGCCAATGTGGTAGTCACCTCTCATGGATTTCCTATTATTGTTAAGTAGATACTGCCCTATTCCTCTATCCCCTTTTATACATCAAAATATTTTCATTGATAACACCAGAAGACAGTATCACTATACAAAAAGCATGTTTTTACACGGAATAAAAGTCTCTTATCTCTTAATAGTAGACTCTCTATTTCTTCGGAAGTTCTTCTATTCCTTTACCCATATCAACTAAAAGCACAAGGGTGAAGCTGCTTTCTACATGTCCTTCCTAGCCTCTATTTTCTGGTTTCCTGTCGCCAGATTATACTGATATTGAACAGAGAATGCACCAACAATAGTTCCATTGCGAACTGATTATAACCATATCCTTCTCAAGTATCTCTTGTTAAGATGGCTTTCCAAGCTGCATACTACGTGAATAAGGTCACTCTCTTTGGTGCCTTCTTCTCCCATGCTGATTTCAAATGGGCCTTAAAGTCAGCAACTTTCAAAAGACGAGCATAACAATTATAATTAGAAGCTGTAGGTGGCGATCTATTCGACATCACTCTATCTTCTAACCCAAAACAGTCATGTCTATAAATACTCTTAAAAGTTATCGACATCATCCTATTGCCACTCTTATACGGATCTCCTAAACGATAAATCTGACAACACTTGGCTTCCTCCTCTTTTAAGGAGTTCAACTACTGTTGCTTCTTCGTCAGCTGTGACAAATATAATTGGGCAAACTCATTTTTCGAAGTTGGGTTCTGATACCACGCATCCAGCCCAAATTGAATTTGGTTACCTATCCCTACCATAAAACCAATGATTCTGGAAAATCCAGTCCTTCCTTCCATGATTCCTCTCTGTAAGCTCGTCTATAACGGTTATAGACAGTAACCTCCCGTGGGAACCATCCATACTGCTTACTCCAGCACCTAGTAACAATCACCTCATCCACATTGAATCCTTTTGACTCACAAATCTCAACCACTTCCTGAAGAGTTTGATATTACTCAGGCCACCCAACTCTGGAGGGGCTATCATCTTATCCTTTCTACCAATGATATTGTATCTCCCCTTTGTATCATCTCATAAGAAATCTCTCATTAATTGCTCAGTTTTCTTTTACCAACTGAGATGGAGATAGTGAATAAGGACATAAATAAGTGTACGAGAAAGACCTAAAAAAGAAGTGTACAGGAAAGTGCTGACGTAATGAGGGTGGTTTTTCCTCTTCTAGCTAAATGCTGCATCATTCCACCCATCCATTATCATCACTGGTTGTCAGTAGAGCTGTCAAAATGGGCTGGGTGCGGGCCATGAAATTTGGTAGGATAAGGACGGGCCGGAACCATTTTTTAAAGGGCCTTAAAATAGGCCGTCCTAAGCGGGTTTTGGGCTAGGATGGGTTTTTGAAAGAAATTTTTTCCAATCTAAATTGGAACCAAAAACTCTGCCAATTTGTTAATATTTCAAACATATGATGATGTGTAGGTAAGTAAAAATTGCAAAAACATCTATTTTTACAAGACAATATGCCAATATTACATAAAACTTCAACGTATTCAAGAAAGCTGACTTTATATGCAAACTGAAGGATGAAGATGTTAATAAAATTGTGAAGCTGTCAACTAAATTCTAAGAAATTACCATTTAATAATCGAAATCGAGAAAAAGACACTTCACAAAAAGAACCCTTAACCCAAACCATGGACAGATTCACATCAAAATATATCTACCCAATAGTCACATACATATAGAATATGGTTAAGAAGAAAATAAAATAAACTAAAGGATTCCCAATTATCCAACATGATCTGAATTCATCTATTTGTTGAAATAAATTCTATTGTGTAAACAAAGAGCTGAGACTGTACAAAAACTAAATAATTAATCTTAATTAAGGGAGCTAAAAATGTAAGATTCAAGTAGATTCATTTTAAGAAACCATGTCCCAACAACTCAACTCAAAAGACTTATTGGTTATTTGGAGTAAGACCTGTCTCTTTCTAACAACAACAACAACAAACCTAGTATAATCCCATGGGTGGGGTTTTGGAGGGTAGTGTATACGCAGACTTTACCCCTACCTTGAAGGTAGAGATGTTGTTTTCGATAGACCCCCAGCTCAAGGACAAATGAAAAGAAAGAAGTAGCAATAAGCAGCAACAACAACAAGATAATAATGAAACGAAGCGAAATGAACAACATGTAGTAATAGAGATCTAACAATACTAGAATACAAGACTACCACTAATACTTATGTTATGAGAAAGCTCACTACTACCTACTAGCCTTCCACCTTGATTCTCGACCTCCCCACCTTCATGTCAAGGGTCATGTTCTCGATAAGCTAAGTAACGCCATATCCTACCTAATCACCTCTCTTCAATACTTTTTTGGTCTACCTCTACCTTTCTTAAGACCCACCAAGGCCAGTCTCTCATACCTCCTTACTTGGGGCATTTTTGCGTCTCCTCTTCACATGCCCAAACCATCTAACCCTTGCTTCTCGCAACTTGTCTCCCATCGGGGCCACTCCCACCCTAGCCTGAATATCTTTATTCCTAATCTTATCAATCTTGGTATGCCTACAAATCCGTCTCAACATCCTCATTTTTGCTACTTTTATCTTCTGGACATGAGAGTTATTGACTGACAAACACTTTGCCCCATTACAACAAAGTCGGTCTAACAACCATTCTATAGAACTTAGCTTTAAGTTTAGGTGGCACATTCTTATAGCAATTTTTATTTTTAATTTTTTATAATTTTTATTTGTTTACCTTTAAGTTTAGAACTTAATTTTTATTCTTTTACTTTTTCTTTTAAATTTTAATTTTGAATTAAATATATTTTTCTTTTGGCCCATGGGCTGGCCCTGGCCTGGCCTTGATCGAACCTCAAGGACCAGTAGGCTAGCTGGGGCCTATAAGCCTCATTTTTAAATTGGCTAGAAAAATCTTAGCTCAACCCTACCCAAGTAGCTAGTTGGGTTGGGTTGGGTTGGCCTGGCATTATGGGCCAAGTCCAGTTTGACATCTCTAGTTGCCAGATCTCAGTATACTTAACTATTTCCCTCTAATATGGCTGTTTAACCCTTTATTACGTTATGTGGTTTTGTTCGTCTCAGGTATTGTATTCCCTATTGCTATTATTTGGTACTACTTATCTTTTATCTCTCCCTTTTTCTTTTCTCTTCCTTCTTTCTTCCTTCCTTGCTTTCCTCTTCTTCTTCTTGCCCTTCCCGAGCCGAGGATCTATTGGAAACAACCTCTCTACCTGCATTAGGTAGGGGTAAGGTCTGTGTATAGACTACCCTCCCCAGACTCCGCCTGTTGGGATCATACTGGGTTTGTTGTTGTTGTTGTTGTTGTAACCCTTGATCCATAAAAAACAATGACATGACTCATATGAAGCACGCTCATCTAGCTCCTATTAGCTCAATGGTGCCATACCAGATCTTTCACCTTCTCCCTGTAACTTTCTCTTCTTTGCAGTGACCCTTCTGTAAAAGATAGTGCATCAATATAAAATCTAAAATGACGACCAAATACATTGCTAGACAATTATAGACCAATACCTTCTCTGTGCACTCCCCCATGTACACCAAATACCCCCCACTCAAAAAAAAAA